CTCTTTGTCCTCTGCCCCCTCCCCAACTTATTTCTGCCACAGCCCCTTCCCTCCCCTCTACAATCAGACATTGCTCTGCCTGAGCATAGGGAAGTTAGAGGTAGATTGAAAAACAATGACCTTAAAATAAACATCTTTGTTTTGCGTATAGGAAAATTACTATGGATACCTATAGACTTAGTTTATCCAGAATTGATGCATTTCACCTTGTTGGAAAACTGCTGTAAGTTTTAGCATAGGTACTCCATAAACAACTTTTAAGCAGTACTTTTGTACCTACTTTATATATAATAAAAACTGTGCATAATATTAGACCAAAGCCAAAAGGTTTATGATTTATCATATAGTTCATTGGGCTGGGCCCCAGCAGTCTACAGTATTTCAAGCCCTGGTGACCCCACAGTTCACTACTGCTCAGTGTGTGTGTATGTACTCCTGATATCCCCCCTCCACAAAGAATCCATGTGCTAGTTATCTCCCCACTCATGACTAGAATCAGAGAATCATAGAGAATTAGGGTTGAAAGGCACCTCAGAAAGTAATTTAGTCCACACCCATGCTCAAAGCAGGATCATCACCAACTGGAACCAGGTATTCTTGTCCTAAGTCCTGGGATGCTCCAACAATTTATATGCAGATGAGGTCCAGAGCTACCTAGTTTACTCCACCTCATGGAGGGTGAGGCCACCCTAATCATATGCAACAGGCTGAAAGAGAGTGTGACAGAGGGATTATGGGTGAACTGTTTGGGGCCTCATTTCATAATGTTCTCTAGGCACTGGAGTCTGGTGAAGAAACAGGGATAATTGAAAATAGGCAGGGGCAGTGCCAGCCTCTTCCCAGTGGGGGTGCTGAGATAGGCTAGACAGAAAATTGGGAGGGCTATGCTATACATCTTCTGGCCAAACATATATATATTTTTTTTTTAACAATACCCACCTAAACATGCATTTTATCTATGTTATCTGCAAAAGGAGAATAAAAATATATACTGTATGCAAACAGATAGGTCCAGGCTGGGCCGGGAGCACCATGCCTCTGCAGGCTGCAGGTGGGAACAGAGCGGGCTCAGATGCACAGGATGGGTGGCAGTGACTGAGGGGGGAGAGCACGTAGGCAGGAGAGGCACTGGGAAGGGTGGCTATGAAGGGGCTAAGGCAAATTTTGGGGTGGCTATAGCTACCCAAATCTTCCCTAGCACTGTTCCTAGAAATGGGAAAGAAAAGCACAGCTCATCTGTGGGAGTGAAGAGGAAATTGAAATGTATGCAGTGTAGTGGCTCACCATGACTTGAAAAAGTCACCATCCGTACTGAGGGGGAGCTGTGTGTAATGAGAGCTACCATGTATGTTATTCAGACAGGCTGCACTAACCTATCCTGGTGGTAGCATCCTATCATAGGCAGAACTTCTTGGCCACTCCTTGGCTAAGATCAATTGTAGTGGTTGGGTAGAGGCCTAGTTTTACTGCCTTGATCAATGCCAGGACAACAAGGGAATAATGACAGAGCGCTGGGATGGAGGAGCCCAGAACAGCATCAGCAGTGGTTTTAGAGTGTCAGTTAAGGAAGGGAAACTGGTCCAAGAGATGTGAAGTGAATCAGAGAGTGGAAGTAGAGATCAAGAGTCTGGTGGAGGATGGATAAAGATAGGGAACAGGGGACAAAAGAAGATAAAAAAGAAAGGTTTGGTGGGATTGGAGACTTTACTGAAGGAAGTAATGAGGGAAGAGCCCAATCAGCAGGAGGAACAGGAGAAAAAGAGGACAGGTGGTCAGGAGAGAGAAATGAGGAAGGAAAGAGAAGTGTTTGAAGAGAAGAAAACTAGTGGGAGGAATAAACCAGACCCACAAAGAGAAAGGACATGGGAATCAGCAAGAGATGGAGTGGCAGGTAATTTATGCCTGAGAATAAGAGCAATGAATAGATATGAGTTTATAGAGAAAATATTGTTTGAAGTTTTAGATGTTAAAGTGGCACATTTGAATAGTCTTGTCACCTTTCCTGACTGGAAGTCTTGGGAATTTTTGTACTGGAGCTGATAAGGTTATGGAAGGCATGTAGCAATAGGTGAGAAAGAAGAACTTAAGGAGATAAGATCTATTTCAAGAGAAAAGACTAGAGAAAGGGCAATAATTATTCAAATGTACATGGATATGGTGGAGATGGGGAGATAGAAAAATGGTTGGAGAATTATGTACAAAAAGTGATGTTGAGAAGATATACGATAAATATGGTATATGGACAGGATCATGGAGAGCTCAAGTGGTAATGAGGATGGATTAGAGGAGTTCCAGCGGGATAATGCACTTAACATCAGTAATCCAAGTAGGGCCACACTGGGGGTTTACAATGTATTTCAGACAGCCTAAACTCTTTGGCAAGTGTGGGCAGGAAGTCCATCTGCCCACAGCTGGTATACAGTATGCTACAGATGTGAAGAGAAAGGGCACACAGTGGCAGAATGATAAGAAGTACTGAAGTGTCTTATTTTTTGGGCAGAGGGACACTTACAGTGGCAATGTCCCTGGTCCTTCTCAAATAAAGCTAGAGGATCTGGTACCTGATGCCTGGTTTCTCTTCCCCTTCCCCTTCCCCTTCCTCCTCTTGCTCCCAGCAAACATCCTGCAACTGCCTGCCCTGTTTGCTGCCCCTGTTTTCTGTCATATTCAGTGTTGGCTGAATTTAATAAATTTCATAGTTGGTTTCCATTACTGAGCACATGGTGGTTTTGGCAGCAGTTTCATGATAGACAATGTATTTAATGAGGTTTCCTTGTCTGCAAATATAAAACAAGGTTGTTTTTTTTTTCCCCACTGTGCTGATTGGAGGGGAAAATCCATATTGTATTGAGCAAATATGATGAATATAAATAATGTTATATCAGCAGCAGCAGCAGCAGCATGTCAAGTCATGCCATATCATGACAAAATAGCATGTGAAATAGCGTACTATTTTATTTTAAAAATCATTAAGGACTTACTACCGATTAAAATATCCTATTTTCTTTTTCTGTTGATGTGTTTGCCATTTGCATTCTAATGAAACATTCTGACCCTTGCAAGAAGACAGACTGTAAAAAGATGGCTATCGTATGTCTAGGACTTGAGGGGCTGTTTTCTTTTTTCACGTTTTCTTTTGTCCTTTATCCTACTTTGTATTTTTTTTAATATTTCATCCAGCTTGGCAATGTTAGAAAGTTCTGAAAGGAGAGCCTGTGGGTCAGGGCACTCTCCTAGGAAACGGGAGTGTGAATCCAGTCAGGCTGAGGAAGGTCTACAGCCTAGGTCATGTACTTCCTGGATGAGGGCTTTAACCACCAGGTTATGAAAGGTGAGCAGTGCTCTTCCAGGTATGTATTTGAATACAGGGCACTGACAGAGTATGTGTCATTTGCCACATGACCCGCCTCTTGAAAGTGCTCTACAGCCATGCCCTAACAGAAGTGCAGAGCATTTTTAAAGTGCCTGATCATGTGACAAATTAACCCTCATTACATGAGGGTTCAGATGAAGGCACTCCAAAGTGGAGCACCTTCATTAACTTCTGTCTGATTTGGACTGGGCTGATGCATCCCAGCCCCGCCCCTGGTGCTGGCTGCATGACGGAAGGAGGGGAAGGGA